AGTGAGATTCTGATTCCACAAGAGTTAAAATATGTCAGTCCCAAGCTGCCTGGCTTAAAATTTACTGTGTGTTTCCGTTGGCCTAGCTGAACTTCAGTTCGTTCTTTGAACTCTTGAGTCTGCAGAAGACATAAAAATGTTTGATGCTCAGAACCTCTCTATCAAGTTAGTCTGGAAAGACTGGGAACATTTGGAGATCTATGTTGGGTTCCAGCTCAGAAAAAGCATCCTCATGAGTTGGGTTTTACCATGTGTGCAACTTTTGCTCTATTTGGGCATGCAAGGCTTTGTAGCCTGTGTCTTAAAATTACGCGTGTGGTATTGCAGTCCCAGCTTTTGCATGCTTATTCAGTCACTTTGGAGGTTTCGTAGTAGAATGCTGTCATCTGAGTACTTGGGGGAAATGTAGCTCTGAGAACTGCATGTGGGACAACGGGTAGCCCTACACCGCCTGAAGATCTCCTGAATGACTCCTGCAGTGGCAAGCTAGATGTTTAGTTTCTGTTACTCCTCAGAACCACAAATCTTCTTCCCTTCTGCTTTTCCCATAGTTCACACAGTCATCCTTGCTGTAGCCTTACAGTATTGTTAAAATTGCTTGCAAGTGTGGTTTCTGACAGACTGAATGTGTAAAAAATAAATAATAAAATTAATAGGTGATGTAAACTGGAGGATAAATTTAATGGATAATCTTGTTAGATGTTTCACCAGTAAAAAGTACAGTGGAGGGCCCAAATTGGAAGGTGCTGTCAGCCATTGTGAGAGTTGATGACCGAAACTGTCCTTCATTTTTATGTCTTAAGTCTTCCCATCCATTTTTCTTTAAAGCAGTACTGGGCCTTTGTTAGTGGCAGCTAGAATTCCAGCGAGTCAGATTCTTCGATGTTAAGAATAGAGTAGGAGTGGAATGCATTTATGCTGTAACAGAATAATAACATTTTCATGAGAGAAATTGCAAGGGTTTGTTGAGACTTTCTTTAACACATTTCTGTCAGAAGCTATGGAAAGGCATTGTATTTGTGCTTCAATATGCTAAATAAGAGGTATTTTAAACTTAAGAATGTTATGTTTCACTTGATTAGCCTAATAGTTGGAACCTACAGTTATATGGTGCATTAGCTTTCAGTGCAGTATAATAGGACTGGCAGCACGGTGTCCCAAAAACTGTAATTGTGTGGGCAGCTGAATGCTCATAGAGAAAGCTACACAAAAATTCTATTCTAGACAGATTTTTTTTCATTTTGAAATGACTTTCACAACAAATTCACAGTTGGATGCCACTGCTTGTATTTCTAGTGAATCATACTCCAGAAAAGTAATACTTTGCTTCACCAAAGGCTGCCACAAACAGTGCAGTGATATAAATCAGAAATTGGATCTTTTTTAACTGTAATTTTTCAAAATATAGTGCAGTCATTAACTATGCCTGCGGGTTCTGACATTCAGATATGTTTGGCTTTGTCTCCACATGCAAAAAAAATGAAAATCCTTTGCAAATAAGACAAAAAGAAGGGCTAGGGAGAATTACCTTTTTATTTATGCTCTACTCATGATGGGGAACTAACTCTCTGACAGCAATGGTTGTCACAACACCGCATATTTAATAGCACAGTCAGAACAAACCTATTACATGATTACCTTTTAACTTCTAGCCTAAGTTTACTGATGGTCAATTCATTTATACGTTTTTTTCTCTTGTGCCACTATTGTTCTTGAGCTTAGCTAGTTCTCCCTTCTCCCCCTGTGTGATTCCACTTGCTGGCTTTTTTGGAGTGCAGTTGCATGTTCTTTCTTTCTTTCGTTTGTTTAGCTTACCAGGACAAGGTCTTTTAGACTTAGATGCTGCAATTAAGGTACCTACGGTTTCGTATATGGGGGCTGTCTCCAAACTGCATAGCTTTGCACAGTTTGTGCTGAATTATCTGCTCTCCAATGGCAGAATCTTTCCTCAGCTTGTGCTAAACCCCCTGATCCTGCAGCCATAGCAGAACTGTACCTGCTGTGGTCAGGAACACCTGGTTAGTGCTACTGTGATTGCAAGAAATAATCTCCTTTAAGCTCTCAATTCACCCATTCAACCTTCTATCTGGTACAAGGATGCGGGACAAAATCTGTCTGCTTATGTCCTTTCTCCAAGGTTGAAGCTAACAGTTTCATGGTACGGCTGGGGTGGGCTGGCAATATGCAATACTAAGCTACTGTCGCTTCATTTTTACTGTGGCTTCTGTCTCAGTTCCATTTAGTCAATTCATTCTGAGTTCTTCAGTTAGAGGAGCATAAATGACCGTTTCATATCTTAACTGTGCAGCACCAAACAATGGTATGTAACAGCTGGTGCCAGTGTTGCTGACATCAGTATTTCATGCTTGTAGAAATTAACGGTACCTGGTTACAGTAATTCAGTGACTGACTCTTTAAGAAATATGTTATGAGAGGTTTCCACAGACATGGTTGATAGGCAACTTCTTCTAACACAGTCAAAACTTGTTTAATTTGGGTGCTCTTGGCAGCAGTGGACAAAATTAGCAGCTCCTACCCTGAGCCGAGTTACATGAATGCAGAAGAGGCACACACTACCTCAGGAGCTTTAGGTGGGGTGGGTGGGAAACGAGGATTCTTCCTTGGAACGACGTCACCCTCTTACACAACCCACTGTCTTCAGTCTCTATACGTCTCAGCTTTTCACTCGCTTCCTTAATAACTCTTCTCCCCAGCTCAGCCAGCTGGCCGCCTTCTCTCCGCAGGGAACGCAGCTGCCCTCTCTGTTGGATGTAGCAGCCCCCTCTCTGTACTTCCATTACAGCTCCCCAGCTCTGCCGGGGTCTGAGGGAGAGGCTTCACTCAAGAACAATCAGCTGGGACAAAGAAATGCTGCTTAGTTGGCAAGGGAAATTTTGATGGACTGATGAACGTGCTCTGACAGAGGAGGGAGACCATCAAAGTCTTAATCCTGTGCAGCATTTATGCAAAAGTAAAAACACACGGTTTCCACATGAAAGATCCTACTGTCACAAGATGAGGCCGCTCGACAGCAAAAAGCTGAATACCTTGCAGGCCAGCATTGACACTTCGCACTCTGAAGTTAACTGCAGACCAGCTCCCAAATTCGCTCTGTACCTCTCGATGTGATTTGTGTACAGCTGTTCAATGCCTGATCAAGTTCTCTTTGCTTGTGGAACCTGATACAAGTTTTGTCCTCTGATATGAAGCCTGCAGAGGATTTAAACTGGGGCAGAGTGAAGTAGGAGGAGGAAAACAGTAAAAGAGGAAAAAGGAAGGGGGTGTTGCATTTCCACATACACCTGTGATCTTTTGGTGTGGTTCAAGTGCCAATGCGTAGCATTCTGACTTTGTTTTGCAGGTTACAGAGGAGGAGAAATAAAGTCAGTTGCATAAAATTTCTAGTATTGCTCTATTCCTCCCTGCCTTCCTTCTTTGATGCAAAAAATCACTAAGATAAGAAATTGTAAGCTTTCAACCTGGTATACTATGCCGTCTGACTTGTAATTGGTTTAATTTAAATAGAGATTTTTCAAGAAAGATAATAAAGATAGCAAGAAAGGCATTAGAGGTGTTTTGGAATGTGTGAGGGGAAAGGCTTGTATTTTTCTTTACATTTTTCATTTATGTGCATGTCTTCCAGAGTGCAAATACAATGTTCCTTCTAAAAAGATCTTTGTATGTTCAGAAACCAAACTGCTTTGAGGCATGTTGTGGGACCAGTGGTTAAAAAATGAGCACAACTGAGATGGCAGTTAAGAGACATGACTCTTCTCCCATAGAATAATTCAATTTGATGATCGTGTGTAACTCTTTTTAAAGCTGTTTTTATAGCAGGGTTAAGTTGCTAAGTCAGTGTTGTCTGAGGAACGGTGGAGCAAGCAAAATGAACTGATTAAAGGTTCACTTTTTAATTTTTATAAGAGCAGCCTTAATCACACTGTGATCTCTGAACTGTGTGGTCTCACCAGTCTTGGTTCACGATTCTGATTTTTTCCTGTTGATGGAGTATACCAAAGGGAGCGGTGGGGTCATTGTGTCTTCTCTGATTCATGCTGGAGTAACTGAAATTAGAAGTTGCTGTCGTGTGGATCGGTAACCCTCTCTTGCTACTTTGTGTTGTGCTTCTGACATTTATGCATACTTGAGTGAGTTAAATGCTTTCTCATTTGCCCTCACGTATCAAGTGCCCAGAAAAGCAGATGGGACAATGTTAGAGTTTTGCCGATTTTAGGTCTTGCACAACTGCAGTCCAGGTCTGAAAAGTTACTTCAGAATTACAGCAGCACAGAGGACTAAGAGCCTGTCCTAACTGAAGCATACCCTGCTGGATGTCCTTCTGTTTGGAATTTCCTTTTTTGCATAAATTAACAAACATTTCATATGTTCAGTAAATAAAATGCTTATTTGATTTCTTCACCTTCCCCAAGAGGAAATTTTTACTAAGGCATGACATCTCCTGTAAATTGCAATGAGTAATATCTTCTGAACTGCTTTCAGAGAAGCAGGAGTCCTTGCTATTTCTATATATAATAATAATTTACAGTCAGAGAAGCTGATGAACTAGTAAGATCTTCTTGGGCTGTTGTACAAACAAAAAATACTGTCTTCTCTGTTTCTTTAGAACTTAACGAGCGGTAATGCATGTTCCGTGCCACAATACGTGTATTTTAGCAAGACATCCGGAATTATTTTTAGTGATGCTAGGTTTTTATTGAATTGCTAAGTTGCTGAAATTTGGTTGCCAGAGAAGAATATTACTGAAACAGGAACCTGCTGGCTTTTTTAACCTTTTGCTGTAAGGAAATGTGCCTTTCTCCATTTGATTTGAAAAAGGAAATAGACCAATGGTGTGGCTATGGAACTTTCTCTTTCTGCCTAGTGAAAAAGTGCTAGTGAAAGAATGAAAAGAAAAAGTACAGTATCAAATGGTAGAATGTTATGGCTTTGTTGAGGCAACAGAATGAAAGTAATTAATTATCCTATTTGTTTTGTTTCAGGTGTCAGAAACTATCTGAAAGAAGCACTGGTGAATATCATTGCTGTGCATGCAGAGGTGAGGAAAACTGAAGTTTTTTTAATGCTTACATTCATATGAATAATTTCAGTGTACTTTGCATGGTAAATCCTGGCTTTCTTCACCCCTAAAAACTATACCTCAGTTAAAGTGTCTTCGTTATAGATGTAGGTGCTTTGCGTTAGGTTTAGCCAACCAAGTATGCAGCTGCTAACTTTTTCAGGGGCAGGAGGAGATGAGCAGTTCCTGTTTATCCTCCGTAACACTCCGTTACACCTTTTTGTTTCCACTATCTGATAAAGAGGAAAGCCAAAGTCTAAAGTTCGGTTCTTCCCTTTTCATGCAGATTAGAGAGAGATGATGCTCACTTTCTCTGTTTAACGTTACTTTCCACAACATAGGAAAATGAGCTTTTTCGTTGCTTTGGAAGAAACGTTCAACACGTGCCCCTTGGAGGGAAAAGGCAGGATATGTCACTCTTGTACGTAGGATGAAAAGTGGAAACCTAAACCCAGAAAGTTTTATAATCTCTGTAAGGCACAAATTGTGTTTGAAATGCTTAGGTAGGTAATAGCTTATGATAGGAATTGCGTATTAAAATGTTGTTATTAAAATAATATGGTTGCAGAGCTGCAGCTGTTTGGCTTTTTGTGGCCAGTATGCAGGAATTTTTTGTAGTCCTTTAAATTACAGCCTGGGCTTTACATACTCCTTCCTCCTAAGTATCGAGAGTGTTATCAGATGAATATTACTCCCCATACAAGCACTGGTATTAATACCTGTCTTACCTTTCAGAATACCACAAAGTATTGCTGCTCTACCTTTTCCATCTACTTAAAATCTGATGAGATTTACTTGAGTTTGTTATTTTTTTTCTTTCTTAAATTTCAAGGATTCCTATGGGCGAAAATATTTTCAGAACCTTTAAATATCACTTGCAATATTCAATTTCATTATTTCCTTACAGCACTTTTTGCAGAAGCATTGCCTATTTTGCCAAATACTTCAGAATGAGGGAATAAGCATCACCAAAAATATATAATAACATAAATATATACTAACATGATATTTTTAATGTTGTTCTTTTTAATTTCCACGACACTGAAAAATGAAAGTGAGAGTTTTTGCTTTTAAAAAACTCAAAGTGTGACTTATTGAACTAATCCTGTAAACATGCACACTCGTTAAATTGCTGCAGCAGAAAGGTGCACTGCCTGGCTGACTTCATTGAGACCGATACTGATTTTTGTCCCAAATAGTGTTGCCTCCTAATTTCTAAATGTGACATATTACAGAAATATGAAAACATGTGTCAAGATGAAACTCCCATTTCCACCGCTTTCTGGTGAAATTCTGTAAGGTGGGTCAGATTTAAGTTTAGCTAGCAGGGCTGAAAGTTTCTGAAACAGCAAAAATTAACCATCAGCTGCACAGCAAACATGGACTGAAGTGGAAAGAAAATTGTTTCTCTAGCTTTGAATTCAAATTTAACTGAATAAGGGCTTTTGTCGCAAAATTGTGATGATTCACCATTACTGAGAATTTTTTTTCCTGGATTCTGTGTACTAACTTCAAGAGTGCTCATTGTGGGCATAAATATTCTCTTCTCAGTAGAAGATTTTGGGGTGTGTTCCTGGTACATTTGTGTTTAATTGCTCAGCAATATTTGCTGCTGAATGAAATGACCCATTCCCAAATCGTTACTGGTTTGGTTTTTTTACCATATAGCTAAGTGTGTCACGTAACTGTTTTGACCCACAAAATCTAAGTAAAACAGGTCACGTGTTTGAATTCACAATGGTAACAGCTGATAAATGTGTTCAGTGTACTTCGGTGCAGACCTGCCTTTTGGAACGGTCAACTTTATGGTATCCCTCATAAATAATTCGTTACCCAAATCACTGAAAACTGTGTAGAAATATTGTATTCTTTTTTTCTCCCACCTTAATTTACTCTTGCACAGTATGGGTTTCTCATGTCAATTATTACATTTCCACATAAGATCTAAACTTCACATGAAGCAAAGGTGTTTCAGCAAAAACTCATTCCACTAAGGGTTTTAGATCATTTTAAAGCAGAAATTGGGTTGGGGGGGATGTTTAGAAACTCTGGTTCATTTTCCTTCTTGCACCACTCCAGTCACATTATCTTCAGTCCCTTGGGTTTTCTTCTCCCCCAACCCTGTGCAGTTTAGTGCAGCTTCATCATCACCTTCAACTCTTGACACATTTGGGCTGTCTAACCTATAATCTCACTTCCTCCTATATTCCAACCTCTTGCCTGCATTTTCCCCAGTTCTATATAGAAAAATCATAGTTTGTTTTTTTGTTTAATTCACCAACAATTTCTCGCTTCCTTAAAGCTCCCTGTAAAGAAGATTGCTTTCCTTCAAGCATAGTTCTAATGTTTAATTTTGTGGTGCTGTTGTGCTACAGTTGCTATTCTGAACATCAAATGGAGAATCCAAGTACCACTTTAAAAAGTTATCCAAATAAGCAGTTAAACTAATGGTCTTGATACATGGGGAAAACAGTAAGGTGTAGTGATTTTGCCAGGGAACTAATAAATAGCAACAGCGGAAGAATCTAAATGAAAATTCATTACACCACCATAATCTCAAACCCTTTCAAAGGCTTGTCTCTGCCACAGAGCGTAAAGACATGAGGCATTTGAAGGTGGTCAGATATAAAGGATGCCAGAAAAAATGGCAAAATACGTGGGTAAAAAGTGGCTGAATGTGTAATTGAGTCAGTCAGACAACCCTGAATTAAAGGTGCTGTCTATAAACCAGCAGTTTTATAGACCATCTGCATCCATCAGCTGAGAGCACATATTTTGAAGTCTAGCTGCTTGTAGGCAATCCAAGAAAGTTGTAATTGTCACACATCCTATAGCTAACATTGCTATTAACAGAGGTGATTGGTCAAAGAGCAGCATAAAATCAAAAGAAATCCTTCAAATTCCAGTTGGTTTTGAATTTTTTTTGTCCATTGATAAAAAGTGTCCTTTTAATCAAGGTGTTTAATGCTTTTTACTGAAATACTACTGTAGGAAATAATTCTGTTAATGTAAATATCGTGCTCATGATCCTTCTTTCATAAAAATCAGGTGTTTACCATTTCCAAAGACTTGGTTCCTCGGGTAATGTCAAGGGTGGTAGAAGCAGTCTCTGAAGAACTGAGTCGACTGATGCAGTGTGTTTCATCCTTCAGCAAAAACGGAGCTTTACAGGTACCTGAATACTTTGTACTGTCAAACATCTGGATCTAGAAAACTGAGAATAACAGAGAGAAGTATAATCTGTGTATTTGTTTAATTTATTGTAGCAGTGAAAGCAAGAAGATAAAAAGGATAGTATACAGCCTATTTCAGATTTATGGATGAGCACTCTTTGGGATACTGATTCTTGAGTTTGATTATATTTTAGTGATATATTTGTGCCTGAGTGCATAAAAGGTTATCCTGTGAGATTAAAAGCATCATAAAGGTATCTGTTTGAAATGTTGTTAAATACTGTCTTTGGCCTGTCATCAAAAAACAATTTTGTGATATTTTGAGATTTAAAAATCTTGAGAATATGATTTGCACGTCTTTTTAAAACTAGTCACGTGTCTGTTATGCTATTTCTACATTAGCACTTTGTTGCAGCATGGCTGGAGCAGATGCTCTTACACTGCCTTCTTCATTCATGGCTGGATTAGTAGTTGTTCTTGCTGTTGGATCTGCTTCAAAGAACTCTTAAGAAAAAGTCTTTTTTTTAAAAAACTGCTTTAAGTCATGATTAATATGGCCGTAACAGGCAAGAAGAACAAACTCCCAGTTTTCATTGTACATGACATCATTCTTGCATTGTGATGGAAAAATAATTATCCAATTACAAACTTTATTTTCCAGTTGTTGGTAATAATTGCATTGAGCAGAAAATTAAGGTAGGAAGACCACAGCCAAATAAGATTGGCTGCCTGTTAAAAACCAAATCAATGATTAGCAACAAAGTTGCCCATATATCATTTTTATTTGACTAGACAACCCACTGTATGAGTTTCCTCCCTAAACCCCTAATTGAAAGGATTTTCTCTCTATACTGCAAATTTGTTACTTGAGTTCATTTCATTTTCCTCTGAGGACTGAGAATCCAGTCTGGCAGACAGCAGAGTGATCTGAGCCTGGTCAGACTGACCAAAAATTATACCCATTCCCGAAGAGAAGGCTGAAACTCTATTCCCGCATCCCGTGACCCACAGCTTTGCAGGCTTTTGCCCTTCCACCACATCTATTTAGGCTGTGGTACTTGAGAATGTGACATTTCTCCATGGTGCTCCTGCCTCTTAAAGTGTAGGAAAGACTCCAGAATCTTGTGTAGGACTTCAAAAAGTCCAAGGCTGTTCAGCTTGGAGCACCATACAAAAAGAGATGAATCATTCTGTGGTGAGAAAAGCATTTCTTAAGAGTAGAAAATTGGTGCGTGGCTGTGTCATGTTTTGTGCCAGAAAGTTCTGGCCCTAAAAATGCATAAATTTCATCTTGTTTCCTACCTAGGGGTGAGATGAGGGGAATACCTTAAAAGCCAGAGCCTTTCATTAGAACTGGAATTAGATGTCTATGTTGCATTATAAAAAGTTTTGGAAGATCAATATCATATTGGTTGGGTCAAAATGTAAATCAGTTTCTGGAGTGACTAACTGGATTGAATTTTATCTTTAAGTTGAACATGAAGTATGAATTTGGATGAAGTTCACTTTATATTTTTAAATGAAATGACTCAAAGTGTTGGTCACACACAGAATGTTTCTATTTCATATAAAATCTGTGCTGGTAATGATTGCTTTCAAAGACTAAAGGACGATCTATGAAATTTATTTAATCTTTGAGTTCATTCTCCACCATAGTTTGCCTAGGTAAAAATTAATAGGAAGACACACAGTACAGTGCAGGAGTTAAATCTCCAAGCCTGTGTGCCCAGCAGGTGACAGGCGAGAAGCAGAGCACAACTATTCCACTTCCTCATCTGATGGAAAAAAATAAATTCAACAGGAAAACCAAGAATAAAGTGTGTATTGACAGATTTTTTCACTCATGTTTCCTTCCTCCCTGGCAAAGCTGTGTTGTGAGAAGTTAAATTCACTATATTTGATTCGGAAAAAGAAAAAAAAATAAAGACAAATTAAAGTTGAATCCTTCTATCTTTTTTTTACAGTACAGGAAAGATGGAACAGAACTGAAGATTTATTGTTGTTACTGGGTGACAAAACAATGTTTTTAGACTGCTACATAGTGACCGTACAAACAGTTTGACTTGAATTTAAAGTATGAATTTGTTCCTTTTAGCAGTCTTCTGACATAGCAACATGGCAACAAAAAATACAGGAAAAAAACTATTAAAAGTCAAGGCTGCTTACAGCTGCACCGTGCAGTAATATTTGTCTTTATAAAAGACGAAGCTTTGGGATACTGGTATTCACTTGATGAAAGGATATTGTGTGATAGTTTCAATATTTGTGTTTCTGTCTTTAGGCAAGACTTGAAATCTGTGCGTTGAGAGATACTGTGGCCATATACTTGACACCTGAAAGCAAGTAAGATGTGCTGTAATATCTGTTTTTTCAATGTTATGGAATCCTTGGTAAACCTGCAAAAGCACATAACACAAATGAAGGATTAAGAAATTTTGCTTCAAATAGAATATGTTATATAGTAGGTAAATATAACAAAAAGCAGATTGTAAGGATTTATCAGTGGGAAGAAAACAATTACTTTTAATTTGTTTTTTACTTGCATTTTTAGACACAAACTAGTATTTGCCACGGAGGGGGGTGGCAGGGGAGTGGAGGGGAAGGGAAAACTTCCTAACAGCAGTACAGCTGCTGAGGAAAATGATACTAAAAGAAGAAAAAAGTTACATCCAGTTTTTGACAGCAATCTCATAAAACATGCCAAAGAACCGGGCAGACACATCAAAGACATTACAGAACTGGATACTGGCAGGATCCCCTCCCTTATAGGGATATATGGGGAATTAGGGCTCTCTGCAAGCTCGTACAACATCTTCCTCCTTCTCCACGCGTCTAATCAGGGAAAGCAAATTCAGCTTCCCACTGTCTCTTAGAATGAAAGCCTCCAAAAAGCTGTCAGCAGTTTATCGTTTCTCAGTGAGGTGCAAGACCAAAGATAAACAGTGTGGGACACACTCGCACATTAATATAAAGGGAGAAAAAAACAGCTTTGGCAGCATCAGTGGTTGAAGCAGTCAGGACTTGTAAAAAGAAACTGTGATAACTGTCAACAGTTTTGAGTAAAATTGATTGCTTGAAATCTCTAGGTGATTATGTTGAGGATTGCATATAGGCAGGTTCTTTGATGATTTTAATTACCTGCACTGCTATTAGTGTTGGCATTACTTGTTCCCACAGATAGCAGTTTGGTCGTCTTACGTGATCAACATTTTGTAGGAGAGATTGCCAGGCTTGAGGACCTGAGGTGTCTTCATAGTGTCACAGATAGTGTCCTATGGTGTGACTGTATTCCATTTCTAAAGACTTACTTCCCTATTCTGAGTGTCCGATAGTGATGAAGAACTTGAAATGGAAACTATTTGCCACTGACTCAAACTGGATAAATTGGAGGCAGTGTTGTCTCTGATCAGCATAGGAGCAAAGCATAGTGAACCCTGGAAGTCACCATATTGATCATTTGCTGACAAGACTGTACCCATCTGTGCAGGTCCTGCACTTTTATTCCACATCTGTTGCCCAGAAAGGGGTAGAAACCCAATCTTTGGAGTTATTTGGAGCTTGACTGGATAGTGCCCGAACAAACCTCCTCTAACCTTGAAATTGGCACTCCTTTGGAAAGGGAGGTTGGACCTGAAGACTTCCAGAAGTTCCTTCCAACCTAAATTATTCTAATCTATATTACCTCCATGCAAACCTACTGTAATTCTCTGTAGGCCGCCTTCTGTAGAAGAGAATGCAGTGACCTGTCTACTGAGCACAGAAGGTCAAAACCAGTGTTTTACCTGTGCTTCCTACTCTGATGATCACTTAGTTTGAAGCAGAAGGCAGACTGGCAAGTGTCTGTAAAAAGAGTCAAGCACAGCCTTAAATCCGCTGCTGACTTAACATTTCCTATTGGTGCATGATATACATCACATTAGGAGTGTCGGGAGGCTTGCTTGAACCCGTGACCACTTTATGTTCAATTTTAATGTCGGGTCTCAACATTTTGTTATTTTATTGAAATAAGAATGGATAAAATATGGCATATCTCCATAGAGTTTACAGAGAGAAACTAAATGCTGAGGCTTGTACCAGTGAAATATGAGTATTTTTGGTCTTCTTGCAGCTCAAGCTTTAAGCAAGCTTTGGAAGCCTTGCCTCAGCTTTCAAGTGGAACTGACAAAAAGTGAGTATAACACACCTTCTTGTCTCTGGAGCCATTGCTTTTTACTGTTGTATCAGAACGTTGTTATAAGAGGGTTAACATGTGCTGTATTTGACCCTTCTAAACTACGGAGCAGAAACCGCTTTGGACAGAGTTAAGAATAAACTGAGTCCTTGGTCATCATGGCCTACTGAATTGCACAGAACCAATGGCTTTGTGGCGTATCCCTCTTGTCCATCCCAGTCTTATCAATTCAATGTAGCTTTGTATTTATTGCATGTATTTAAATCTATTTTTAGCCTTCTTTCGTAATTTTAAATTTCCTGTGAGGTCTATTGTCTCATTTTGCTGAATTTAGCAGTAATACAAAAAAAGTGGCCAAGGAGCAAAGTCCAAGCTTTTGCCAGCTGATATATGGGGAACTCTCAGAACTGTCCTGTTTGATTTTAAAAACAAATAGGAAGGGTCTGTGGTTTGTTCTTCACATCAGGAGGAGGAGTTTTGGGCTCCTCGTTCCCCACCGTAGCAACCTTTGACAACCACGCTGCTTTGGGACATCCAGCCTAGTATTTGATCGTCTGTTTTACGAGCATAGCTTAATAAAGTATGATAAAACTAGGATGGGTTTGTAATGAGTATATTAGCATGAGCATAGATGTTTTTAACATGAGATTGGTATTGTGGTGCTTTCAGGAACTGAACTGCATCAAATCAGTTTGCACTTAAGAGTCAGAATTTAGAATATTTTGCAGACACAAGAGACTGTTTGTGCAGCCAGTGGTCTGCGACTGTGCCTTCTTCCAGGTGTCCTTTGTCTACTTATTCAAACCTATTTTTCACTAGCCACAAGTCTCAAGATGCCTCCTTGCCTTACTTAGCTCTTATGCTTTATTAACGATAGGAATCAGTTTTGAGTAAGGAGAGTTCTTTCAACTCAGACTTTCCGAAACACCTGTAAATTTTTTTTTTCTTTCACTTAGTCACAAGCATTTGAGCAGCACGAGACAGATGAGAATCAAGAACTGCATCATTTTTTACACCTGTCTCGGAGTTTTGAGCCCTAGACGGTGCAAAATTTGTTCTGTTTCCCAGGCCGTTACACCATAATTGTCATTGTTTCAGGCAGCTCATTGTAAACTACACGTACCTGTGTAAAATAACACACATTTGTGCACTGATTTAGAGCTGTTCATTTCTGTTCATTCACAGTCATAACTGTGATACTAAATGATGAATGTGGCCATAGTCACCTTCCAGAGGACCTGCTGAGGAAGCAGAAACTGGTTTTGTGGTTCAAGCTGTTCCTGGGTTTGTTTGGGTTTTTTAACATATAGTACAATTTCTTCTGTTACTGACTGTTCAATAATCACAGCTTGGTGGAAAGTTGCCCTATCTAGCTTGGTTTTGAAATAAAGCAAGAAGTTGGGAGAACACATTCTTCCCCAGAATATGGGGAAAATAAAACACGGGCAAGACTGTAAAACTTTAGAATGTATCTCCGCTGTTACGATAAATTTATCCTACAACAGTGCCATCAACACTCTCGGTCCTGCACCTCTAGTTGGTGGATTATAATAATTATTATCCACTGTGCCAAATGCGTAGATGTTACGCTCCAAAATGAACTCGTGATGAGTTCAAAATGAACTTACTTTTCTTCTAAATATCTGTAATATCCAGGTATTTAGATAGATTCAATTTCAGGACCTTTTTTTAAGCAGACAATGTACTTGAAGTCACAGATAGAATAGCCAAAACTTAGGGTAATTGTTCCCTTTTCAGAATCTGCCAAAAATGTATCTATTTTCCTTTTGCAGGTTACTAGAAGAGTTACTAAACAAATTTAAAAGCAGCATGCACTTGCAGCTGACCTGTTTTCAAGCTTCTTCATCAGCAATGATGAAAACATAGACAATGAGACAATGCAGGCAACTCGAAACACGAATATGCTTAAACGTCACCCATTTTTTCTGTACTTCTTGAATTCCTTTGTAGACTGAAGAAAACAAAAGGAGTTTCACTGGAAGAGTATTTATGAGATACAGCTCTTTGAGTAATGGTGTGGGTTATCCTGCTGAGTGAGACTTCTGGTCGTAAATACTTTGATTAAATGGTTTTCTGTCTACTGTATTTCATTCTGTGGAGTGGATTAAGCCAGTTTTACTTGCATACATTCTTCTTGGCTGTATGTTCATGAAGAAGTATTCATTGGTGTGCTTCAATCTCAGTTTCATTTGTTAAAAATACATTGAAATGTATTTCTAGCAAATGTCGCCCTGAATTTGAGTGTTATTCACGTTCATTTTATCAACCTGTTACTTTCTGGATGTAGAGCGACTGGAAGGCTCAGTTTCTGTAAACTTTGAGAAGTATGTAATAAACATTGCTCATACAGCTGTGTAATAAGTGTTTGAATACAATATGAGGACACTATTTCTTTTGCATTTAAAAATTACTTTTTTCTACTACATACAGTTTTGGTGGTCATAAGTCTTGATTTCCTGTGAGGCGTTTATTTTCTTGTTTGTTTTTTAAGCAAATGTGCTCCTGCGTCTTCTGTTGGAATATTGGTGATAGTTTTCAGACTTGAAGGCAATTAACAGAAAAATGCTCTGAGTTTATAAGATTAGTAGAAATTGTTTTCTAAAAGGTTCAATTACAATATTCTTTGATGCTAAGGAGTAAGATAGTTAATAGCCTCTCGCATACTCAGAAGTAAGGAGGAGCACAATATGTCATTGGTTTTGCTGCTTCCTCCTTACTCCTCTTTTCTTGTTCTTACAGCCTTAGTACCACTGTCTTCCTGTTCCCTCTTGTTAGCCAGCCCTCTTTTCATGACCAGCTAATGAATTTGTGCAGAGGGTAGTTAGGGGTTCAAAATTGCTGCCATTGAGACATAATTACACAAAGATCAAGAACCCCAAAAGGGAAGATTTAACCCTGACTTGATGTAAGATGTAGGAAGCCATAGCAAGAGAGGAACTAATAGAAAGTACTCGTGTTTTGGGGAGTGAGGAGTGGGTTTGGTTTTATACCTGAAATCATGACTCCTAAGTAAATCCTGGAGTAATAATGTTTTCTTTCTGTATTCACAGTGAGTGAGACTTTTCAGAAACAGTGCACTGAGTTGTCAAACAATTTTTTTTGTTTCCTTTTCTCAGTTCAGTTACGTGCTTTAAAAATACAGTGTACCATTCCTGTAACGTGAAATACTGAAAAAGCAGCTTGATGTACATATATTTACGCGTAAAAAATGTGTAAGTGGTAATAGCATGTTGAATGGATGTTTGAAAATTCAATTATATGTCATTACTGGCTTTCAGGGAGAATTGTTAAACACCTGGAGCAGTGTTGTTTTGTTCAGTGTTGTCCATTCTAAGCTGGTCATAGTCTCAGCTGCTGATACTAACAGAATAGTCATCCAGTTAGCTCAATCTGTAAAGGATTTTGCTTCAGAATAATAAAAGATTAAGAAAGATAGTCATAAGCTCATCTGGAATTCCTTACTTTCAAGAAATGTGATTTCTTTCTGAATTTTGCCAGTCTATGTTTCCCTATGTTTGTATCAGACGCGCTCTGAAGTATTGAAAACCTGGTTTATCATCTGTACTGAATTAATATATATTCAGGCATCTCTGTATTTGTAACATCTTGTGCATCTTCTGTTGCCACAGCCTGTTGCTTGTCAATAAAACCTGAAGTCAGGTGTTTGGGTTTCTGAAGTCACACTTGACAACGTATCCTTGAGAGCAAATGAGAATAATTTGTAAGGGATCAAAATATCACTTGAATTCAATGTGATATAAAATAAATGCTCACAGACAAGTCATAGCAGTGGATTTCAGTAAATCCACTTGATGGAATTAAGGAAGTCGGTGAGCATCGTGCCACGACAGGATGGATTGGAATTTCTTTGCGTGGAAGAAGAGCTGGGACTGCCGAGAATTCGCAGCAAACATACAGCAGGCTCCAGTTCCTCTGAAAAGAAGATTACAAGAACAAGAAGTGGTCAGTGTGGTTTTTGCAAAAAAAACCAAAAAAAACCAAAAAAAAAATCAAACCAACTCAACTGTTCAAAGAGGCAGTGAGGTTTTAAAAAATATTATTGAAAATGGAAAAAGATGAGGAGATGACACCAAAATACGCCATCAGTTAGGGCTTGCAGAGAAGAGAGAGGCAGCAAGGAAATCAAAGGAAGAGAAGTGAAAGGCTCTTGACATTTAAAGCAAAGGTAAATGCTGAAAATGGTACAAGATAAGATTAAGTGAATTATTACGTGAACTTTAAACCTCTAGAAAAATCTAAAACCAATACAGAGGGGAGAGAAAAATTGAAATAATAGCCTAGAGAGCTTTATTTCTTGTTTAAGAGAAAAATTTAGGAAGTTAGTAAAGCTGTAAAATATATCTTGCCAAAAGTAGTTTAAGACTTATAAGAAAATTAAACCGTAATATGTTGTGTTGAGATATTCCCCCTCTGTAGATGGTGAGAGATTCTCTTATTATTGTGTTTTGAACATTTATTTTGAGTAGTCGTGAGTGATTTGGGAGGTGGGCAAAGAAGTAGTAAAAAGCAAATGCTATATAATAGTGACAGACACAGAAAAAATATTTAAATCCCCCAGTAAAATGATGGAAGAAAGAAGAATTTATTACATACCTTCTCACCCACAAAATGTTTCACTTTTAAATTGCTGTTCTTCAAAATGTATGTTTATGAAATGTGCTCATGGTGCATCATCCACATTAAACACCTTCCTATAGCTTTTAAAAAGCCACTTAGAGAGCTTAAAAATATGAAAAGTCCTGCCGAGTTTCATGCACGTGCTGGATTTCAAGCGTATGAATAGACACAAGACTACTTGCTCAGATGATTCCCTTCAAATGCCACGCACGTGTGCCTGCCTTCTGAGGGTCAGGGAAGTTGTGTTCCATGGGCTAAACCTCTGGCGTCTTCCTCGAGTTGCACGAGAAGTCCCAGGACTCCAACCGGCTGAATTTCACCATTTGGTGACAGAGAAGCAAGCGGGACATCGGTGCTGCAAGGGCCAAGTTGGGCTTTGTAGGGGCACTTCTGGCCACAGCGATAACGTGGGGCTGGTGGCTTGTAAAAGTAGGTCCAGTCTCCCAACCTTTGCCAAAGCATCTCCCGGAAGAGACGATGCATTATGTCGAAGGCGAGATTTCTATTTTTTTTTCTTTTTGCTTTCTACCCAGACAGCCTTTTGACATTCAAGGAACACTTCTGAAGTAATGGCACGTTTCTGTGGCTGTGTCGGTAAGTAGAGAGGTGCAGAGAGAACAGAGCCATAGAAGCTGGTGTAATACCGTACAGAGTGTGCTGCTTAAAAGCACTCTTAGGTTGAGGAAAAAAAAAAGAGTAAGAATTTACTGTTGATGTAAAGGAAGGTGTAACGTTGGTTAACGTTTAAAAAAAATACTGTGATGAAAGAATTTCATGGAGCTCTTTGACTGCTGAGCCTACTAAATGACCTGCAGAAAGTCCCTCTCCTGCAAACATCCAACACTTAGCTAGGCAAAGCCCTAGAAATACATCATAAATATTACAGATTTAACTCCGTTTTAACTTTGAATGTAGTGACAGGCATCTTCTGTGTAAAATCCAAGAGAAGGTAGAAGATTGCAATTTCCTGGATACAGTTTTGGACTTGTGAAAAAGGAAAGATCAGGACAAGAATCTTTTGCCATGGTTACGCGCAGTCATCAGACACAACGCTACGCAGGGGATTTATACTTCCAAACCAGCTGCCAGACCACATTTAAGTCAGCTCCAGCCAACTTCTTCGGACCTGTCCTGCTAAAATACTCTTGAAGGAGATATTTTTAATTGCTACAACATCGATTGTATCAACGGATGCAAATACCTATCTCTGTGTCCAAATAGGTGTCTGGATTCACTAGCAGTGAGGGCATTTAGATGTTTGATGTGCTATAATCATACTGCTATTTTGTTTTTTTTCAGTCAATGATATCTTGACAAATCAGAATTAAAAGATCCTTAACCTCATCAGAGTACATTGGAACTGAAAAATGAACACGATGCTCCTG